CGCCGCCCTTGCCCCGCAGGTGCCCGCGCTGTGGGTCCAAGCGGGAACGGTCCGGAGTGGGCAGGAGCGCCGCCCGCAGAGCCCCGCAGACGCAGGCGGCCGCAGACCTGAACCACGCGCGGTCAGGCGAGACTTCCGAAGGAGGCTTGGGGAAGGGGCAAGAACATCCAGATTCTTGAGGCCAGAGGAATCAGCGCCCGGACCCCTGCTGCCAGCCTCCAGGCCACCCACAACCCGGAAAGGCATTCTCTGACACGCTCCCTCCTCCCAAGTCCAGCTCCTCCTTGAGAAATCGGTTGGCTCTTGAGGTATCTCGCCCCAGGGTGGGCCCGGCCTAGCTGGAGTCCTCGGCTGCACCCTGCCACCACTCATTTCTACAGAGAAACGAGGCTGAGTGGGGCCGGCCCCACTTCTAGCTGCTCCCCTCCCCACTCCAAAAGGCATCTGAAGCCCAGAGGCTGGGCCTCCTCCAGCCCCCACTCACATTCCTGACCACTTATTTCATGTGTCCCTGTAGAAGGGGACCCCTGTGTGTGCTTGTGACCCTTTGTGGATGTGTGTACACTTCCATGTGTACCCACCTGCAGGCTTTGCAATGCCCACACCCCTTGACACACGCACGCGCATGTCTGTGAGCTACTTACACCAGTGGGAATCTGCATGGATACGGGTGGGGCGGGGGGGGTGCTGTGGATACACACCTGCACACGTTTGGATGCCTATCTGTGTGTACGTGCTTCTGTCTGCACTCAAACACTCCTCCCCATCCCAGCTGAAGCCCATCATTTCCTCACCTGAAGCCACCACCAAACAGTTTCCAGCAGGGTCAAGTCCACTGATGGAGGGAATAAGCATTGTGCTGGGACAGGGAATCCTGGACCGAGGCAGCACCTGAGGGCTGGCCTCACTTCCTAGTGGCCTCTAGCACCCCTGCCACATGCTCTGTGCTGCTCTGCCCCCATTTTCCCAGGGCTTTGTCAGCCTTTAGCCCACCTCCAGCCACACCCAAAGAGCTGGCCAGGCTGTCACCTCAGACCAAGCCCTCGGGGAAGTCCTCGATGGAGGAGGAATGGAATGTCCTTCCTGGTTTGTCATTTCAGTTAGACCACAAGGAGTTCCGGTGAGGCTGAACATGGGGTAATCCCTCTCAGTAATCTTAGTGGGGGCCCACGAGCCCCCCTCCCCTCTCCATTGGCATCGAGACAGATCAGACCAGAGGCAGAGGGATTCTCAGGGAGACCTTCAGTGGTGTCTTCTATGGAGTGTGTGTGCGTGTGTATGTGTGTGAGAGAGATTTAACTGGAAGAGATTCCCTGGCCCTGTGACACGTACCATCATGAGAATCTCACGCTCCCTTCCCTAACCCCCAAGCAGGCAAATAAGACCAATTGTTTAATTTACATAAACACACACACACACCTCAATTTCCTTACTCCTCGGGGCTCCTCCTCAATTCGTTTTCCCACTGCCTCCCACCCCAATTCCCTACCGCTCCAACCCCCAACCCATGTTCTGCTTCTGGCCCCTTTCACCCCTCCCCACCTCCAGTGCCCCACAGGACCTACACTCTGGAGGCCGTGCCCCACCCACGCCAGGAGTTCCTCCCCAGTGCACCTCTCCCCTAAAGCCCAACCTGAGAAATCTTTGGCAGGGCACTGCTGGTACCTTGTCACAAATCACTGCCCATCCCCAGGCCAGTTTCCTCACCAACAATGAAATCTTGGGGTTCCATACCTAGAGGGAGTTGGGGGAGGTCATTACAAAGGAGAAAAGGTCTCTGGGCTTCTCAGGCCCAGGCATTTCCCCATTCCGGGGCCTGGCTGGTATCTACCCTAGGCCTCTCCATCTCCTCGCTGAAGCATTCCTGGCTGCTCCAGCCCTCGCCAGTCTCCTGTCTACTTTCTCAGGCAGCACCAGGAGCCCTCTTGGTGCCAGGCAGCGCACACAAACATCCTCTGGAGGGCTTCACAAGGAGCTGCCAATGACGAGAGGCTGCAGATCAAATTCCTGCGCCACAGGAGTTCTCGGTTTGGTGGTGCATCGAGACTCAGCAGTCTCCCACCCTGGCAGGCCTCTGTTGACCTCACAGAAACCACCTTATAAGATCCTGGGCAGAATCTTGAAGCGAATTAATTCCACAAAGCCTTTCCCCGCGGTCCTCTGCACACCCCAAAGGCAGGCTCCCCTCTCTGTAGCATTCTGTCTCACACACGCTCATACACACACACGCCAACCACACACTCGCTTGTCCTCCCACTCCCCTCCTCGCTGTCCTACTGCACCCTCTGGAACCCAGCTATGAACAACCAGCAGCCCCAGGTCCTTGGCCTTGCTTGGCTCTGCTAAACCTGCCCTAGACACCAGGGCCCCTGCAACCCACACAGGTGGAACTGCTGCTCCTCTCCCAGGGAGGTGGGGGACATTCTTTTTGGCTCTCTGCTGCACTTTCAGAATCATTGCTCATTGTTCATCAACTAAAAACTGGAGAACATGTGACATAAAGGGCAGAGAGAAAACTGACCATGGCCTCTGATTCTTAAAGAAAAAAAAATTTTCTTCGTTATCAGGGAATGAACGAATGCTGGTAAGCATAACAAAACCATTTCACATTTCTGCGTGGAATTCAATACTTTTTTGAAAAAGTCAAATGGTAGAGGATAAGAACGCAACACATATGAGCAGGCTACTTCCTGAACATAAGAATCAGTAAGAAAAAGATAAAGCACTCAACAGAAAAGTGGGCAGCAGACATGCATAACATAAGCTATTGCTTACATGGTGTTTACTAAGCATGTGCTGGCACTGTTCTAAGCACTTTCCATCCATTAAGCTAGTTAGTTCTCAAAATAACCCTACGATGCAGGTGTGTGTTATTACCACCATTTTAAGAGAGGAAACTGAGGCACAAAGAATTCAAGTAAATTGCCCAAGTTCATACAGCTAGCATGTAGAAAATATAGGATTTGAACCTTGGCAGTTGGAACCTGTAGATTACTTACAAAAAAAGAAAATAAATAAAATCAATTAGCATATAGGAAAAAATGCTCAACCTCACTCAAATTAAAGAAATACGATATGAATAAAAATGAAAAGCCATTCTTACCCATCAAATTGTCAAAGACTGAAATATTTAATAAGTGTTTCATGTTGTTGGTTGTGTGGGTAACAGAAAGCTTTGTCCTTTGTTGGTGGGATTGTCAATTGATGCATCTTTTCTGGAGGGCAAAAGCTCTCAAAATTAAAAAGACATCTACTCTTACTTCAATACATAAAATAAATAAAATGAATACACTGATCCTTTGACCAAGTAACTCCACTGCCAGAATCTTATCCTACAGATGTTTCACAACAAATGTGCATACGTACCTGTAAGACATCTACTCTTACTTCAATACATAAAATAAATAAAATGAATACACTGATCCTTTGACCGAGTAACTCCACTGCCAGAATCTTATCCTACAGATGTTTCACAACAAATGTGCATACGTACCTGTGGTCTCTGCTGTCACTTTTTTTTATATTCATGAAAAACTGGAAACATCATAAACTGTCAATAGGGAAGTGATTGAATGAATTGAGCTACATACATTCAATGGAGTGTTATTAATTGAAAAGAATAAAATCCTTTATATACGGATTGAGTTTTTAACCTTTATGTATTGCTTGCACAAATCACTGTAGTTTTTAAAATCCTCCCACTCGCGCTATCCAGCTACCTCCCTTCCCTATGGCTCATCATTCCTGGCCCCACAGCCCCTCCTGCCCTCCTGGCCACTGTGTCATGTTCAGCAGGGTCGCTGCTACCTGGGTTCTGGTGCTCCTCTCCATGCAAATAACCCTCCCAGCATCTTAACCCTTAGTGTTCCCTGAGCTCCTCAACTCAAGTAACTCACTTTCATCCTTTTTCTCTTGTCTCTACCCATGCATACACTCTAGACCCTAAACTGCTCCATCTCTGAAGTCTTAAACTGCAGGACCATTTATAACTCTCTCACTATCAGCAGATGGCTTCCTCAGCTACACCAGCAGCCCCAGGCTTGAACCCAGCTATTCTGTTCTGCCCCCACAACACTCTCCTTCGATCCTGCTTCCAGCTAGGACCCCATGATTATTATCTTCACTCACAGCTGGAGGTAGGCTGTGTCCGGTACGGGTGCGACACTGAGGGTTGCGATCCGTTGCCGGGCACGAAAAAAGACAAAAAAATAAATAAATAAATAAATAAAAAATAAAGTTTTGTGGTTGTTGTTTTTATGTCTGGAATTTTTTAGGATTTTTACTTTTTCTTTGAAGTTCCAGAAATTTCACCAGGATATGATTAAGTATGTGTCTTGTTTTTATTAATCTTGCTAGGCGTTTGAAGAATTCTTTTCAGGTTAATATTCAAATCCTTCTTTAGGTCAGAGATGTTTTCTTCTATTATTTCTTTCTTTATAGGTTCTACTCCATTTGTTCCTTTCTCTTCTTCTGGAACAGATATTATTCAGATACACCATTTTCTACCTTTGGTTAGCATCCTTACTCATCTTTTCACTCATAATTCCCATTTCTTTATACTTTTGTTCCATGGTACAAGAGAGTTCCTCCATTTGATCCCCTAGATAGCTTTCTCTATGACCCAGCAGTATTTATTCTACTTTTCACTTCCTATATTGAATTTTAAATTCAGAATTTATTTTTAATTACTGAAACATCATTCTTATTCCCAGATGAT